GTGTACACCGCGTGGGCCTTTTTGCTGCGGATATGCAGAGGGGTGATGTGGGGTGGAATTATTTTTGAGGGCAGCACGGACGCCGCCTGACCTTTATGGGAGGGATGCGTGCTGTTATTCCGTGCTTCCTGCCCTGCGTTGTCGCACTCATGCTGTGAGTGCGGATGGCCACAGTAGTGGAGCTGAATACGGTTCAATGTGTGTTGCTCACGGGGACTGCGCAACACATGTTTTTTGTTGGGCTTCCCAAAAGGAGGGGCGCATCGCCGTTGCGTGATTCCCGCGGCAGTCCATTACCCTGCGACTGTGCGTGCCGCCGTCCGCTGCGCCACTGCAAGCCTTCGCCTTCGCTTTTGTGAGAAATGGGGAGCGTGACTGCTGTGGCGGTGGTCGAATGCTCCCGAATTGGTGCTTTTGGTGATCCCACTTGGAGCGCCGAGCAGCGAGGGGCCGCACACGCTCAGCTCCTTTGCGTGCGACGGAACAAACGCTTTTACGGGCGTGTGGTGGGGCCGCGTTCTTGTTTGGAAAAAAAGCCTTCCGCAGGCATAATGAGACTGCCGCCAGTGCCACACGAGGCAGCGGGGAGTTTCCTGGGATTTATTGGCGGGGCGGCACCGCACTCATGCCGTGTGGTTGATTTGTATCCCGCAATGCACGGTGATGGGGATGTGCGGTGACAACTTCCTCCAGTGGAGCGACGCGAGCAGCACGGGGAGCGGAACGGAGGAGTGGTGGCTGCGTGCTTCCCAGTGATACGTGAATGGCGAATGCAATATGAAAGGCAGCGTCACGGCACTTTTTTGCCATGCACACTGCAGATATTTTCCATAAAGCATGCAAGTTGCACTCTTTTATTTGTTCTGTGGGGGATTACCGTGATGCATCGCTGTTGTGGAGTTTACGATTTGGGGTTCTTGCGTGTGGCTGTTGCTGCACCGAATACTCCTCCCACTTTTGTGTATTTGTGTCAGTGACGATATGCCCACGTCCTCTTGCAGAGTGTGTGCGGTGACGGCGGTGCCACACGGGTGCGGGACCGTGGCGAGCGGTATGCGTGGACGAACCCTCCGCGCTCACCACGTTGTTGTTGTTGGCTCTCATCAACACTGTGCTGGGTGGATGACATTCACTCGCCGTCGTTGTGGTGGTCCTCGTGCATGTGGTGTGCGTCGCACACTGTGTCGTCACACCGCGCGTATGAGTCTCTTGTTGTGGCTTCGAGCCATGGCTGTGCCTATTGTATTTCTTTTTCTCATTCCCCTTTTTTGTTTGGTGGCTATTGTTTAGATCTAACTCAAACTAACTAAGAAAGCAAGGAGAAACGATGTCTGGAAGGCCCGAGGAAAGACTTTACGGCAATGTGGAGAGTCAATCGTCCAATGTCTCGCAGGGAGGTCGGAGAAGAGCGAGGTCGGAATTTGAGGGTGACACAGATTACTCCTCTGCGACTCGCAGAAGATTGGAGGAAACGCGGCGACCAGAGTGGACTATGAGCAGCACCGTAAAGGACATCCTGCTGGAGGGAAGCACTAACAGCACCGAAATGAAGCTGAACGATTTCCTTCGTAGCCACTTGGGCGGCAGGGCGGCTGTTGATGAAGACTACAATGTGACGATGGAGGCGTTTGTTCAGGAGCCGGATGCTTACGTACAAGACCAGGAGCTTCTTAGAAGAATTATTAATTTACCTGCGTACCAAGCGCTGGAGGAAAGGAAAATACTATTGGAGGCTATTTATAAGCTTCATCACGAGGGTGTGTATTTTCTCAGGCAATGGAGGGACTATCAACGAAACGATACGCTCACTCCTCTTGCAAGTGGAAAGCTAAACGGAGTACTCACTGATATAGAGGAAAAAGAAAACCGTGAGGCGGAAGAAAGATTAAGGCGTGAGGAAGCAGAAACGCAACGACGAGCGCAAGAAATAATATTTACCATGTCCACTAATATCGAAGTTGTATTGTTCAGAGGAAGGGCTCGCGTCAAGGAAATGAAGCTTAACGATTTTCTTACGCTGAGATTTGGCGGAAAGGGCGTTATGGACACCAATCGGAATGTCTTGCTGGAGGAGTTTTTCAAGGAACCCGCGAGGTATATCGGCGATGAGGGAGTATTGAACGAAATAAAGACATCATATCCTTACTTGAGGATGGAGTGGGTTCTAACAGAGGAAACGATTTTGGAACGAGATATTCTCAAGCTTCAACAGAGTGCCGGCACTCTAGCAGCGTGGTCATTAGCTGCCGAAGAGGTAAAAGCAGGTGTTCATGACATCACTAAACAGACTTTGGATGCAGCCCTCGAGGAAGTGAGGAACCCAGCGGCGACGACTGCATCGATAAAACTGGAGGGATGCTACGAGTCTGTGTACAATGCGAGGTGGCATCATGTCGTGGAAGTTCCTGGCGGCGAGGGGACGGGAATGAAGGTGCATGAGGGGGAACCACCGCAGCCATGGACGTACAAGGCAGTTGGCCGAACCCTTGAAAAGGATGACGGTGTGGAGCAATCCGGTGAAGCGCGTCTCAGGCTGATGGTGCTTACCTCGGACAAGGGATGGCCGTACACGTGGAGAAGGGAAAGTAAAGCCATTCGTGACTGCTATGTGAACTGTGAGGTGGAGCGAGTGTGGCAGTTCGTCAAGGGCGATCTCACCGAGTGGTTCATCAATTTTCATTTGATTCTCAATCCTTCACCTTTGCCGCGTGTGTTGATTGGGACGCCAGGGATCGGGAAGTCGATGGCTGCCGGTTCGTACCTTCTTTACCAGCTGCTGCACTACGATGTGGAGCGACTGCAAATGGTTGCTTACTATGTTGGAGATGAATCGTTCCTGTTTGACAAAACCACCAAAACCGTGACAAAATACAAGGAAGGGACCAGATTCACGAATATTGTGAAGAGTCTATTTTGGCGTGGGTTTAAGGGGTATATTATTTACGACATCGCAAAGGATGGTTGTAAACCGTCTGCTAACTTGCCTTGCGATGGTTGGGGCATGATTGTGCTGACATCACCGAACGAGGGTAACTTTAGCGATTGGGAGAAGGAAATTAAACCCACAAGAATCGTAATTAATTGTCCTGAGAAAGACGATGTAAAGGCGATATGCGTTTGGATGAGGCAATACCAGTCAAAACAGGAGCAAGAGAAGTACTGGCGAGAGGTGAAGGATCGAATGGAAGATTTGGGACCACTTCTTCGTTACATCTTTATTGAGAACGAATACAAGGATCGGAATATGTTGTGCGAAAAAGCTGTTAGAGAGATGACCTTGCCGGATACCAACCATTACCTTACATTGGGAACTCATAAAATGTGGGATGCTCGCCACGTCTCTCATAAACTTGTGAAGATCGTACGAGTACGAGGTGACGATGGTGAATTGACCCTAAATTCACTGATATCTCCCCATCTCGGAAGTTTAATGACATGCAAGTTGGCGCAATTAATGATGCCGAATGATTTTATTTTACTCATATTGGCCATCAAGGACGATCTCTTATCAAAAACCCTTGAAAGGTATTCCGTTTTTACATTTTTGAGCGAGGGCTTTATAAATGCAATAATACCGAAACTCAAGGAGCTGAAAATAAAAAAAGATGCTCCGCCACATCTCTGTGCGTTGAGAGTGCGTCCACATGAGCGCCCCTTCAAGCCCCTTCTTTTACCGTTACTGAAAGATTTTGAGGAGAAGATTAATATAGGGTGTCGGGTGCTGTACATACCGGAGGCTAAAAACTTTCCGTTGGTGGACGCCTTTTTCTTTTTGGAGTCAAACCCGAAGATAATGGTTGGGCTGCAGATTACTACGGCGGGTGAGCACCACACCCTAACCAGCACTGTGAATCTGTTCAAAGAAAATATGGCGACATATTTTAATGGTTGGGAGAAATTTGCTCAAGGATTGTCGTGGGATATTATTTATATACAACACGTAGACAACAAGCCGCTAACTAGCTGGCAGAGATGTGATTACGTCAATCCCAGGAATAAAACCGACGCTGAAAAAGAAATTGTGGCGTTCTGGAAGGAAAAGGTGCACCAGTACCAAGTTTCTGTATCATCCAGAGACTTTAAAAGAGAAGAAGCTCTCCCAACTGTTGAAAAGCAAACAAACAACAGGAAACAGATTAGAAAATGAAAAGTGAATGAGACATTTTGTTTTTTGGTAAATTTTTTTTTTTGAAATATATAAATATATAGACACTTGTGTGTGCATACGTTGCGTTGCACCAGCATCAGGCGGCAGCACAGCGCAAAAGTGTTAAGAATTTTCAACGCGAGTGATAATAGCAGTGACAGAAGTAATTAAGTGGGGAAAGGGAAATTTATATTTCTGGTGAAAAACATATTTTGAGTTGTTTAATACATGTGAATGTTTGTTTTTTTATACGGCACCGGTGCACCATCCGCTTTAGGAGTAAGACGCACAGATGCCAAAAAATTACAACGCGATATTCCTTCACAACGACAGAAAAAGAAATCAGGGATGCCAGGGGCGTTTTAATTAATGGTAAGAAAATATTGAAGAATTTTTATTTATGTGAATTCTTCTGTTTGCATACAAGACGTAATAAGAGAATTGCTCTGTTATTAAGGAATTACTGTCTTTAGCTGTATCGTAGTGTTAATACATTTTCCTTTTTATTCTATTTTTTTCTGGGACCGGTCATTAAGAGAAGCATCTTAGCGGGATGGAAGAATGATAAGTTCTATTGAGGAAAAAGTGCACTCCGTGTGAACGCATGGAGTGAGGCGCCGCGTCATGGATGGATGGGGATCCGCTTCTGAGACGCCGTGTCATGGATGGATGAGGATCCGCTTCCGCGTGTGTCTCTTTGGGTGATTGCTCGCTCGGTGTGCGTAGTGTGTTGGCTGCGGGCTGTGGCCGTATCCCGTTGGCCGTGGGATTGAACTGGAGGCGGTGGAGCTGTGTCTCTTCTCATCCTCGTCCATTGGTGGATGATTGCTGGCAGTGTGTGCGTTTGTTGTGTGTACGCCGTCTCGCGGTTTACGCGCACAGTGGGCCACAACTGCTGTGAAGCGCCGCGTCTTTTCTGTAAGGACTTATTGCCGCTGTGCGTTGTATTTTGGCCATATCTTTCGTTATATGAGCGCTGGGCGTGTTTTACCGGGGCGTAGGGTGCGACCATCCGCCATGGCCACAATTTATATGGTTGAGGACGCGTGTGTGCGGGTTAGGGTTAGGGTTAGGGTTAGGGTTAGGGTTAGGGTTAGGGTTAGGGTTAGGGTTAGGGTTAGGGTTAGGGTTAGGGTTAGGGTTAGGGTTAGGGTTAGGGTTAGGGTTAGGGTTAGGGTTAGGGTTAGGGTTAGGGTTAGGGTTAGGGTTAGGGTTAGGGTTAGGGTTAGGGTTAGGGTTAGGGTTAGGGTTAGGGTTAGGGTTAGGGTTAGGGTTAGGGTTAGGGTTAGGGTTAGGGTTAGGGTTAGGGTTAGCTTTAGGGTTAGGGTTAGGGTTAGGGTTAGGGTTAGGGTTAGGGTTAGGGTTAGGGT